AAAGATTCGACATGAATGCGACATTTGTGACAAGGAATTCGCAACGTCGGCGTCTCTCAACAGCCACATTCATGATCGGCACACAGCAGGAGGCGTTATTTATTTTAAAGAGGGAGGATTCATCATTATCCAGCGGAATGAAGGCCACTATCGTTGCAGGAAATGCGACTTTGTCTGTGAAACAAAATCAGGATTTCGAAAACACATTCTTGAAGAAAAAAATGAAGCCTGCCTCGATCACATGAAAACAAAAGTGAAAGCAACTGTTGTCGATCCCAGCTCAAGTCCAAAAGTCTGGAGATCATTCAGCGAGGCTCTTATTGAGGCATCACCTATTTCATCGCCATCACTCCAAAAGGCACTCTATTTTGCAGACAAAGTTGGTGAATATCCCATCGGGATTGGTCTGCAAGGGAAAGAGTATAATGTGATGGTCAAGAAAGAGATTTTCAACAAACTTCCGAGTCAACCAACTTTCGTCCCTGTCAATCGGCCAGCTCAAGATTCCGAGAGCCCACCATGGGACACCCAACAGTGCGTGAACTGCTCCCCTTCATTACAACCACCCATGAGCGATGTTCTTGAGAAGTCACCTTTCATCAGCTCCCTGTCATCACGCCATTATACCGAACTCTCAAAGAAGACAACCAAATTGTTGAACCTCAATTGGACTCTCTTTCCGCAGGCACGACAAATTTCGAGCCACCTTCTCTCGGGTGCAATCATGCTTCACACAGACTTCGACCTGAGTTGTATCTTAATTAACGAAGTCGAATCCTACGGCCGGACGAGAGCGGTTGACAGTCATGCTGAGCAAACCATATGGGTGAAGGACGTTCCAAAGAATACATCGGTCCCAAAAACCGTTGGAAAGTACAAGTACAAAGGCATCCGTCCAGTCACATTGCAAGAGAAAGATGGCCAGCGGCTTGTCATCGGTACTTTTACATGCGACATCTTGGTGACTAGTTGTATCCGTCTTGACCCAGGTGGGAAATCAGCTGTATCAGTGGGAGGTGATACCCGCAACTTTGTCATTCCTGAAAAAGAATCACCAAAGATCCGTATTTTCATTGACTCTGAGCGGATTAGGCAATGCAAGAGGCTAATGAAGGGATCACCTTCAAAGGCCACATTCAACAAGGATGTAGAGTGTCTGCGACAGGTCAGGACAAAGTTCGATCGGCTCGACACATTCGATCTCTCTCGATGTTCAGGGCCAATGACAAACTCAATACTGTATCAACCCTACACCATCTTCACCATCGTCAATTCTGGGAGTGGCCGTGGAGGAGCATTCGCTGCCGGGTTCATCTTCCACCAAGTCGGACAGGCAGTGATAAAAAAGAAGAAAAAAGCAGTCCTTACCAGAAGCGATGTTTTATTCAGTCTCACTCATTGTAGTTCCTCTCAAGACTTTCGAGCGCCCCTCGAGGCAATCCTAGGTTTGTTTTCAGAATCCCAAAAAAAGATTTCAGTGATTGGAAATGCAGAGCTGAACGTGCAACTACAAAAACTGGCAGCATCTTTGTCAAGCAAGATCTCGGAGGAGAACAGAAAGATTGGCGCTGGCATTGTACGGCTATTGACAAATTGAAGTTTAAACAACATATTTAAAAAAAAAAAAAAAATTTATTAAAGTCCACTAAATAAAAAAGTATTTATATTAACCCCTTAAGTAATGTTGCAATAATAAAATAAAAAATAAAAAAGAAGAGAGGATAGAGAGATGTTGTTCTTTCGAACAAATCTGTAGAACAGTGGGCTTAATCTCAGCTGATCGTAGCAACAAGGCTACTCTACAGCTTACAATACCCCGTTCAATTAAAGTCGTCTGCAATGGATTTATCTCTTCCAATATTTGAAATTAACATTAGCAGGAACCTCATGAAGCCTTTCCGCTCCACAAGATCACCCCGCGTAGCATGATTCAGGAGCCGAAGCTCTATTCGTATTCAACTAATTATCGGAAAAGGCGGTAATCGTCGCATGTTGACATGTTGAATTAAATTGTCCTAGAAGTGAATGCCTTGGAGATGACCATGAGTGCAGAATGAAGGACCTAGAAATGAACATGAGTACAGAATGAAGGACCTAAAAATGAACATGAGTGAAGAATGAAGGATCAAGCGACTAGTATGAATGAATGTCCTAGAAATGAGCATTAATGAATTAGAGACGAGCTTCACTGTCAAAAAGTAGAGACAAAAGCAGCAACAGAATTCTATATTTCCGAATTACGGCCATACACGATTTTCTATTTTTTTTTTTTTATTTTTTTACCTTCATATGAATGACAACTACGTAGTAATGATTTGTTTTGGTCGTTTTAATTTATTCTTCTTTCTTTTATTCTTTTTTTTTTTTTTTATTTTCTTGTAGGCTCGACCCAGCCCTCTCTAGTTTGAAATGTGACAGGAAACATATCAGTTTCCTTTTTAGGTCACATATGACTAGAGGGGCTGGAAGAATTTTTGAGTGTTTTGGCTTGGATCCCAAAAAGGAAGTGTTATATTTTTGTTTTAGAATAGCAATTTAATTCAATCAGCACTCATTTCACTTCGAAGCATGCTTGAAAATTTTCGATTGAATTGAGCCACCTATTCTAAAAACTAAGCGATTTCCTTTTTGGGATCCAAGCCAAAACACTCAAAAATTCTTCCAGCCCCTCTAGACTGAGGTGACCTTAAAAGGAAACTGACATGTTTCCAGGTCACACTTCAAGATAGAGAGGGCTGGGACGAGCCTAATTTTCTTGCACATATACAAGGCTAACTTATTTTGTACATCTGAAATGCAATGAGCCACGAGTTTTGTTTACTTCTCAGGATTTTAAACCTGGAACAGATGGGACCAGGAACCACACAAGGTCTTGATAGCTGGTTCTCACCATAGTTTGCACTTGGACAGGGTTTGCCCTTAGAGACATTAAAGGAGAGTGTCGTGTCGAATTTTTTAAATTTGGCTGATCGGTAGCCCTGAGTCCTCTTCCGAATGACCTAGGCCCCAG